GTTTTTATGTTATGCTAAATTATAACAGACCTTCATAAAATATGATTTACGATTTGGCATCGGAATGCACTTACATCAAAATACACTTTATTTATATGGGATTTTAGATGCGAAGAAATGTTTTCTTAAAAAGTTTATTGTCTTTTTTTATTCTTAAATAGATATTCTAAAATTATCGTCACATTCAATGACAGTTATAAATTCAAATATCCAAAATATAGTTACAATTATTGATAGGATGGATGGGGATATTATTTACCACTGAAAGTCACCTTTCTTATCGTTACGAATAAGTCAGTAATAATAGCTCCGGAAGTTTAATTAAAGTAAACTAGTGAATCAGTTTAACGACTGCATTAATCTATTTGTTAATAATAATATAATTGATTAATAACGAATATGACTACTAATTTGCCCGTGTTATGACAGATTTTTAATTATTTTAACTTTTGTTAAAAAACCTGTGTAAAGCAAATAGAGCTAAGCTAAGAATATTTATTGTGCTTTGTGAAAGGGAGTCCTCAGGACGACTATAATGGCAGAGATTGCGCCTCGTCTCCCTAATAGAGGTCATGCCACGTGTCGTCGGCTGGCCGAGTCCCAGTAGGGTAATAACACATCGAATCAGACGACCTGTCCCGGATAAGAGCTACGTAATGACATTGCTGAGCAATTGAGCAAACTGATAAGTCTAAAGGTTTCGAAGCAATTAACGTTAGTTTTAGGAAACGGCGACGGTGAAGCAAAGCCGACAAAAAGTTCGTTTCTCCGGACAATCGCGAAGGTCGCGCGGCAAAAACAATCGCCGCTCGCCGCACTTCATTAGGAATGCTGCGCATATACATTCCATAATGAATTTAAAAACATTGGCTGACAAAAATAAGGTTGAGGCAACTCAAAGTTCTGGAAATCTGCAATCACAGCAACAAGAATCCTTCTAACCATCTTGTACTAGTATCACGTGTTACAACTACATATATCAAGAACACGACTCGTGAGGCTATTAAAGTATCTTATGGCTCGTGTAGTAACGAAACACGAGACCACGACCAAATGCAGTGGAATGCAGGCATAACGAACTCTCCGAAGTAAAGATACTCAAGTCCGTCGGTGTCTCTCATTCTTTCACTTTATTTTCGAAAAAGGATAACGATTTATTTAAACCAATTATTTGGAACTAGACTAGAAACAACTAAGTTATCTACCTACTTACACTGGAATACACATACGTATTTACACTATTAAACGAGTCTGATACATAATATACTTTAATATGAAGGTTTTCCGAAAAATATTATCAATCTTTATGTAACTATCCTATCAAATCATTAAGTATCATTTTATTGATGGACGGAATCAGCTTGTAGTGTGCACTTATGATCCCCTGGATTTTTATCAATGAGGATCATTTCGATTTTTAGTTGTGAATGCAGATTTATAGGGCTAAGAAATCCTTAATACACAGTCCAAAAATTTTTGTTCTACGACAAAAATTGACGAAGTTATAATCATAATCATAATCATAATATCTTTATTGCTTCATGTGGTACAAACAAGGTATTAAAAATAAAATAGTCCCAGAACATGAGCCCTGTGAGGGCATTGCAACATTATACATAATATTAATTAAGCTTAATCTAAATTATTTTAATAAATGTAGGTACAAATTCTAATTAATTTTTTTTATGGCCAAATTACTAAAAAAGTTCACTGACCGCCCGGCGCGGGGACGATGACGTCACTATATCCGATCCGAATGCTGCCGGCGTACTGCGTGGATAGAAAATATTTTTTTCTAGCCAAACTATTAGTTTTAGAGAAAAACTTGTAATGACATTTATTCATCAGAATAAAGTAAGCTATCGATAGGTAATTTAAAAAAATAGAAATTGTGAAAAATAACGCAAAAAATCCATACGCTCATACGATTCAATGGAACGCACGAGACGCGATTGGGGTCTCCGCGGTGGTATATTTGGCGATTTATTCAAAAAGTGTTCATAAGTGTTGTTAGAGTCATATCTTCTTCCAAGTAAAATATAAAAATGTATAAGTATTAATTTATTTACTTCTAACAACAAGGTATAGCTGAGGCAGATACACTCTGCCTAGGCTACAAGACATTGCTATGAAGATCATTTCGATGTAGTAGTAGTGTTAGTTTTTCTGAGTTAAACCTACGTACCTACCTACCTATCTATTCGCCGTTTCCATGGGCGGGCCAGCTGCTGCAGGAAAGGACAGCTGCTCCCTCCTGGAAATCTATTTAATCTTAGCCTAGAAGCTGGGTATGACTCCCCCGCCCCCCTCCTCTCCCCATGTCATAAGCTGGGCATGACTAGCCCCTTCCCCAGTCCATAAGCTTTCACAATTTTATTTTTAAAAATTACTGGTCGATAGGTTACTTTATTTTGATGAATAAATATTATTAAAAGTTTTTTTCTAAAACTGATAGTTTAGCTGGAAAAAAATATTTTCCATCCCAATAGTACGCCGGCTGCGCTCGATTCGGATATAATGACGTCACGCGGCCCTGCGTACGTTGACTTTTAGCGGCAAAAACGGCCTATGTTTATTACTTAATATCTTCGTAAGTAATGGTCCGATTTGGATAATTCAAAAAGATATATCTTTCTTATGTCTTAAAGATTAACGTAGATACCAGTTTTATTGAATTTTCTACAACAGTACTGATCCTCATTGTCGTAACGTTATCAACGGTGGATATAAATATATGAACTCCATCATTTGAACGATAACAATCTAACCACATCCGCGTTGTTATCTTTCATGTCGATTAATTAAGCAATAGCACTCCAGTTAAGTATGAATGATAAAATAATAAAGGAAAGATTTTATTAGGCACCCAATACTAAGCACATTAGTTTATTAAAAGGCTGCTAAAGTTAGAAGCGAAAAGTGTTCCTGCTGGTGTAAAAATAGCAGGTCTACACTCACGCTCGCTCAAGACCATTTCATTTGCCGAGTGGCGCGCAAATAGAACCTCATTTCCCAGCGGAAGCGCGGCTAGGCTTCAGCGGAGCAGGGACGGGCCTAGGGCCTTTTACTTCACTAATCTACTAGTCGTACGTCATAATGGAGCGATCAACTGGAATATTTACTTGTATTTTTTATCTAATCAAATTCCTAATAAACTAAAAGACATCTATCGTAGGTAATTTACAATCAAGATTGATATCGTTGTTTTGAACAATACATACATGTGTAAATGACGTCAAAGATGTAAAATCCATTTACATACAACTGACACCTTGAATATCGTCAAATGTACGCATCAAAGCAATGAAACAAAATGCGAACATATTACATTTTGAAACATTGAAGTACGTTACGCTTCAGGTTTCAGTATGTTAAAATACATTTTATGATATTGATTCCTTTCCGGAGTACAGAGATCGAGTGCACGCTAACAGGCAAGCGCCACCTGTAGGCTGCGCGCCAATTAAACTAATCACCGGGCTCATTACTTGCGCAACGCCATTGTTCCGCGCGACAGATAACTTACAACTTGACTCCAGTACTTGCCAGTAACTTGTTTCAATTGATTATAATACAGAGGCCAGTAAATAACACTGACCTACCCGCGACCTTCTCTTCTGAGTAATCACAATTAGGTATTTATTATAAAACAACGAGATAAATATGACTAAGTCCAGCGTCTGTCTTCAATATTATTCATAGAAGTACATAAAAGCATTCACAAATAAACGACGATATTCGTGTTGACATGCCGCTAAAAATACCGTGAGTGACGTCACTGCGAGGCCACAGGGCTCGCAATAGTAACAGTAGAAGACTAATGAACATTATTCTGTGCTTATGAAGTCCTTTTGTCGCATCTCCAATTTAGCAACCAGCAAGCAACGCTGTCGTTGTGGAATACGTGCCAACCTACGTGACTCAACAATCACTAAGTAGGTACAAAGTTAATTAAACTACTATGAGAATGCTTAGCTATCTTATTAACAAAACCACACAATTAGTTACAGGCCACATAATATTGGTATAATGTCTTTAACGTGGCTTTTTGTAGCAATAAGTAACTAGAATATTGGCGCCATTAATTTGCTTTTTCTATAAACAGTAGCCTAAGATAATTAATACTAAAGAAAATTAGTTAAAGTAAATTAGGTATAAGCCTCATTTACAGCAAACAAACAAGAACTATTTAACGCGGCTAATGGGTAGGTATTTGTGAACTAAGCAAACAAAATTATAGATACGTTGGTACTTTAGTATAAATTACAGAATAGGAAATCCCTAAAAATAACCTGGAAAACTATACCTGAGGAAGAGGATGGAGTTTTGATTTGATTGTTTTGGTGTTGGCTGCAATGAACCCTATCACAGTTATGAGCTGTGATGGTAAAGAAATATTGCGCATACCACTGCCTGATGGAGATTACCAGTGGGTTATGTGGGACTCCCCCGCTAGAAGGGCCTACCCTCTAAGACCTGACGGACGGTGTCCCCCGGGGTCATTGAAACGGAGCCACGAGTTGTTAAAGTAGGACAATATTCCGCATTAGACAATTTGGACATTCTTCCGCATTTTACTTTCCCCGCATTGGACATTAGTGCGCGAAGATAGTTGGAGGTTGGTGAAGTTAGGTTAGGCCGGGTTCCCACTATGCCGGACCGGCATTTCTGCCGGAAACCGGACACCGGACAAGGGTGTTCACATTACACCGGATCACCGGATCCAAAATCCGAGCCGAATGAAGTGCGGGGAGCACATATGCACGGGCGCGGGGGGTGGGCCGCAACTTGTTCACATTACTCCGGTCCGGTGATTTTGCCGGCATTTTGTAGCGACAAAACGCTCGGTAAAAATGCCGGGCTCGGCGAAAAAGCCGGATCCGGGATAATGTGAACAGCTTCATACAATGTGTACCGCCGCTAGGCCTTCCGGCGATTTTACCGGACCGGGAGATCTGCCGGTCCGGCATAGTGGGAACCCGGCCTTAGTGGTTACTCACCCTCGAGTCGTAGACGCGGGTGAGCGCGTCGTATCGGATGGAGCCGAGGAAGATCACGGCCTGCGCCGCGCCGCCGCGCCCGCGCGCCACCAGCTCCACGCACACCATCTCGCCGTCGCGCACCACGATGTCGCAGAACACCTGCCGGACACCACGACATCATCACGACTGTCAACAATGTTTTATTACCATACCAATTACACCGTTCATCAGAAGAACGGCCGTAACTGGCTCAGCAGCAGGTGTGAGCACTCGCTTACACACTGACCTGCCGCGGCTGTTAATTTAGAAGTATTTCACTTAACACCAGGGGCGATTGCGGTCAAATACCTGCCTTGTTATGCATAAAAAAGTCATAAAGTTACAAACACGCTCCTCCACGCTTCAAGGTTAGACCAGAGCAGATATCTTCGTTCAAAAATAGTATTCAATAAACGATAACGAATGGGGATATCAGAATCAAAGAGCGCCTGCTAAAAATAAAACCTGATTATGTGAAATTTCGTCACGATTCCAGTTTAATTAATAAAATAATTTAACAATAGTCTCATTATTTTGGTTTTTACCTATGTATTTTTAATGAGTGTTCGGTACTGGTGGAAAATATGATATCTCAAGCAGTTAAAAAAACGTTAACCTATGTTACGAGAATTTGTTGAACGATTATGTGAGCATACAAACACGTAGGTACTTATTACATTTTAACATGGTAATATTGCACGTTACATAAGAAACCACAAGCCTTATTTAAATGCTATAGTTTATCTGATAACGGAATACAATGCCCAAATAAAAGTGTAAGTAAGTAAGTAATTGTATGTCTTTTTGTACGTTGGTATTGAGTTCTATGAATTGCATTCTTACCGTCGAACACACTATGCATCCATCTTACCCAGTTTTAGGTATGGCAATTTATGTTGGTGGCTATTAAGCATGCTGCATCGGTCTCGTAGGGCTCCCCTACGAGACCGATCAGGTCAGCTAATTGTTTATAAAGGGCAGGCCGAAAGAGCCCGCATCCGCCATCTAATATTCACTGAGGGTGCTCGCGCGAGGGCTTCGTTCATTGATTATTTAACAAACCTCGAGCTCTTTTGATATTACGTTTACCTTGCAAATTATGACTACACATTACCTACACTTTACATTTAACTAGTATGTTTATTTTGAAATTACTGTTATTTACCAATTTATTGTTGCGCTGTTTACCTATGTTTCACTTACTTATTATGCAATACATACTTAGGTACTCAACAAAACAACAACTAGCTAGCATTTGCGTCTTGTAACTCGCATCTTGTACTGCTATTTAGGCGCAAGAAATGTATCGAGTAAATCCGACTAGCCACCGCGACAAGAATATGTATAAAATGTATATGTAATATTTAAATTCCTATTCGCAGCGAATCAATCACAATTTGTCCAATGTTTGAAGAAGAATTATTATACCTGAGGAATAAATAAGAATATATACGAACACAACACACATTTACTTAATCCTTCGTTCCGAATGTGCTGTGATATGAGAAATTGTTATCGCTTTATCGAGTAAGATCTAATACGAAACACAATAAGAAAAATCTAGATTGTTAAAAAATATTGTTATTGTAATCGAAGGTTTCATCTTATTTATTTTGCATCAAGAGTAATAATATCATAAAACTTTTGATATCTGAATAAACTACCACGATTAATTTGGATAACTAACAAACAAATATTACTAAGTACTCATAACGCTAATGCTTACAATACATACATACATATTGTCATGCTACAGGTATCAAAGTGTGTGTACCGCGAAGTCACCTCTGCGAAGGCTGTGCCATGCACAAGCGACGCTGTGCACATTTCATTCTAATTTAGTCTCTTGACTACATCAATTAAAGCAAAAGTTGCATTTTATGCATCTGCCATTCTTCTCATTTAAGTGCGTTTAAAATGAAACTCGTAGCATCGTCGTAACCTTAAATGATAGGTTTTCTACTTTCACAATCTTAGATAAATCCAAATATAAATTAAGATCTTATGATGAACAGCAACAATGCATCAGACAGATAGGATACAGGCCAAGATAACTTCCTCGTCGTGGTAAAAAATAAAATATCATTCTACAATAAAATTGCAATCTCCAGAACTCAACCGCAAAGCACAATAACTACGTATGTCACTATTTGTGGTATATTCCAATGAGTTACAATATTTTCCGCATTTTACTGAGTCAGTTTTTTAACTTTACGAGTGTAAATAAATATCTTGTTGGTGTATAATTAACATAACATGAAATTGTTTAGGGTTCAACCCTTTCATTGTCTACCGTAGTAAGGAATGGAACTGCAATAATGGCACTAAACATCATCGATATCTCAACTTTTCGGCGACATCAACACTGAATCGTTTTTGTATATGTAACAGCTTTCTACTTTTAATTTGTATTTTCAGTGCAAGCATATTGCGCCGCTTGAGTTGACACCATGTTTCTTAGCGCCAGCATTACCGTGACGGATTCGATAAACCCCAGTTAAAACTTTCCCCTAGACCATTTAATTGAATAATCGACTGTCGATCAGAAAAGCGGTGCCCTTGCGTCTGGTGATGAATAGCGCATGCAAGGGCCTACATGGCAATAAAGCATGTAATTTAATTTATGCTGTCGATGTCTCATGCTGGAGTCATAATATCTCCTCTAAAAGTTGAAATTTTTAAATGGATAGATAAAACTTTTAGATGCTTGAATTAGCTTTTTCAGCATGTCCGCAAGATAAAGAAGACTGTAAGGACCCCAATACGGTATATTATAAGTTCTAATTAAGCCTTGTTCACCCACTTTCACATCGAAGCCACAATCGAAGCCTAGGAGCAGCTGGCGCGGCGCCAAGCCAAGTCATCCATTGCCCATCGACCACTCAAAGCCACACAAAATGCAATACTGCCAAATATCTCTTGCAAAAAACTTTCCACATACTTATTACTCACTCACGAGCATCAGCATGCCTCATTTATTATTATCCTTAGGTATGCTAATGTGAAAATATGTAAATAAATCGATTTCATTATTTTTCCAAGTAATCAGAAATACTGATACACAAAACATTTAAAATCATTTTACCTATACGTATATTTAAAGAATAATTAATGGTTTATCCAAATAATAAATGCTAGGCTAGCTGTTATTTAATTTTAATAAATTATAAGTACCTACTGCATTATCCAATGTGGTAACGCCATTCAAATATTTGTCAATGTCAAACATGCCTATGATAATTTTATGTTACCTACCTACATTCGTTCATTATCTACATTCGGTACGCAGTACGCATGCTACACTGGTAGCTGGTCCAAAAATGGACACTGGTCCAGTGCTATCATTTTGTAAACATGATTGGTCATAATGAACTGAACACCCTTGTTTTTTTCGTTAATCACTGCTGGCGCGGGCAGGGTGACGCTGCGCACCGACGCGGTCATGACGCTGTGCCCGCGTGACGCCAGCCTGACTCACCACCCCGATTGTAAACATTAGCCGATCTTGCAGTTTACTAACTGCCACTTCACATGAACCGTCTGGATGTTGGACCATTAGTCACCGCAACCATTACCATTAGATAAACAAGTAAATATTAATCAATACAACAGCTAGCAGCGATAAAACCCGCCTTGCTTACTGTGCTAGAATGTAACCTAGATACTAATTCGGTTCTGGCAGTGATCGCCGCGGGTCAATACAGTGGAGCGGAAGAGACCGCTGGAGTGGCTCCAAGCCGCCCCCGCGGCAGGCGGTCCGGCTGCCAGGCCCGCTGCCCCAATTGGACGCTTCAGCAGTTATTTCCCCCAGCATGACTTGCGATTACACACAGACCACCGATGACTTCGATCAGAATTCTGAAAACTCGTTTACCGAGTGTGCCGCTCATTTAGATAGCTCTAACTCGGTTTATTTCAAACTGCCTCAAGCAAGATAAAAGCGATGTGAACGTGTGTTGAAAAATACATGTGGTCAAATTAGTTTTGTTTTCCTTCCGAGTAACAAGCGCTACGAATCTCGTAGTGTTTTGTATTCGGGAAATGCTATGCTACAGTGTTGTTGCTAGGTTGCTACAGATGCTACGGTACAAGTCGAAAGTGTTTTTAAAATACACTTTGTCATTGTCACTGCACGTGTAAATAAATTGGCATAAACCATCAGCAGTCATATACCCAAATAGTATGAGTATGTGATAAATACATAAAAGAGTTTTATACACTTCTGTTCAACTACTTTCCACGACGACCAGTCCCTCTTGAAAATAATAAATAGGACAATGACTTTGCCAATAGACGGTCTTGATGTTTATCTTATCAGCTTATCACATGAAAAGAGATTATGATAACTGGAAACAAGATAATTTTCAATTCCATCTACGAACGTTATCACTGTATGACATTGTGCATATCTTATTCCAACTTCTAACCTCCATCACTTGTGTCTACAGGGTGGAAACGATAAGTGATATCATTCGATTTCGATTATTTCTAAACTAAACAAGATATCGAAAAACTGTTTACTAATCCTGAAAGTACTTCACAAGCTATCCAACGGTACCAATATTAGGTTACAGAATTAACTGGATCTATCCGAAAATTTCATGTTTTCAGCCTCCATACTAAATGTATGCCAGCCAAACAATAACAAAAGTATTTTTTTTAATTAAATAATAAACACTTAAAAGTAAATTTCATTTTTTTTTAATTATTCTTGGAAAACATTGGTTTTAGGCTTTACTTGCTATAATATTAACAAGACATGAGTGCCATGATTCGACTGTGGCTGTACTAAATGTATGGAAGCAGGAAACATTGACTTTTTGAATGGATCCTGTTTATTTTGTAACATTTTATTGGTACCTTTGGATAGAGCTCGTGAAGCACTTTCAGGATCAGTAACCAGTATTTGAATATCTTGTATAGTTTTTAATATTATGTGGTTTTACTAAATGTATGGAAGCTGGAAACATTGAATTTTCGGATAGATCCAGTTTATTTTGTAACCTATTATTGCTACCGTTTGAAAGAGCTTCTAAAGCACTTTCAGAATCAGTAATCAATTTTTCGATATCTTGTATAGTTTAGAAATAATCGAGTGAGATCACTTAACGTTTCCATCCTGTATAGTATTTAGGTTTGTTTTGTAATTCTACTCCGTCTAATTTGGTAGACATCATGTGTAAACGCAAGTCAGAAATTTTGCTTATAGGATTCTCCGGTGGTAGGTACTTGTACAAAAAATTCCTCATGCATAACTTAAAATTTCCGCATTTCATTATAATTTTACAGCCTAGGTTCATAAAATTAATATCGATGATATCTAGCTTAAGAATTACATAGCAGTGAAGTGAGTCTGCGCTGACGCACGCGGGCCACAGCGCCCAGCGGAAACGTGCGGTTAGCGGATCAATGCCTGACGGGACGGTAATGTTACCTCTAAAATAAAAAATAAATTCATAAAATTCATTTATTTTTGCAAATAGGCTTTAAAAAAGCGCTTTTACACGTCCCAATATTAACCCTACCACTGCTTCGGGACAATAAATGGGCCAGTGCTGAGAAGAAGCAGCGCAAGAAACTCAGTCACTATTGTCAGCCTCCTTTTCAAGGTTTTACAGTCTTTAAAATATACAAATTATAGTCATAAGTATTAATGCGAGCTAGGTAGTTAAACATTCCAAACATTTTTATCCTTTATATAATCATCAACTTTATAGTAGCCCTTTTTCATTAAGGTGCTTTTGATATGTGCTTTAAATTTATGAATGGGCAATTCTACAACAGTTTGTGGTAATTTATTGAAAAGTTTAATACATTTCCCCATAAATGAATTACCAATCTTGTGCAGTCTGAAATTTGGAACGGCAAGTTTATTTTTGTTTCTTGTATTGAACTTGTGTAAATCACTCTTTCTAGTAAATTGCTCTATATTTTTGCGAACATATAAAAGGTTTTCATAAATGAACTGTGAAGCTACTGTCAGTATATTAATCTCCTTAAAGAATTCTCTCAAGGAAAATCGGGGTCCAAGGTCTATTAACAAACCTGGTATTTATGGAACAATACTTAACTTCCTACTTGGGTATTTACGAAAATAGGTACACTACAGTCATAGTCTCGATGGTGCACCGCAGCGCTTATCGCAGGCTTTGTTGATCTACACAATGCGACGTTTTATTTATATGCACCCGACTAAATCGGAATGCGCCAAACCAATGCACGCCGTGAAATATTAACACGGACACTAGCGCACAAATCCGACGATAACGGTTTATTGTTATCGGCGCAGCGTTACGTTTTCACAGTAGTTGCAATTAGGAATTCTATTGAGCTGTCTATTATGCTGCAGAAATGAGTCACATTCGAGTGCCGCTGGAGTTGCAACGCGGGTGTCAATGTAAGCTGTCGGTGATTAAGAGACAATTAGTACGCGGGCCGGCCGCGCCGAGGCAGTGCTTGGTAGATCTTGCCGCGCACATTGCCGGCCTCGTGATTATCAGCACAGCATAAATAAACATTTTTGCTCTTCGTAGGGGAACATTCCTGAATTTTGCTAACTCCTTTCTATTTCATCGTTCTTTTACGATCACGCCATTCCTAGGGTTGCTGAAGATTTAAAAAATAAACCTGTAAGTGATTTACCACCCTAAAAATTATTCACGTTATAACAACATATTAAAATATCTTACCAATTAGGTATTCGTATAACGCAAAAAAGTTTTCGGCAAGTATGTGTGAAGCAAGGTCACAAAAACCAGTTGGAGTATTTTAATGATCAATTTAAATAACTCAGTTAGTTAGTAGGACCAATATTATGATGAAATTTGTTAACAAACTAGGTAGGTTCGTTAAAATTCTAATATGCTATAGGTATAAAAAAGCAATAACGTAGATTAGACCTAATGATCCACTTGTCTGTAGTGACAACTATCTATAATATATTTGTAGGGAAAAAAGACTAGCCAGTAGAGGATTGCACCTGGGACGCTGACAACCCTGGGGCGCCGTCGCACGCAGGACGGACTCCCACGGCGATCCAACGCGGTCAAGTACAGGCATTGGACTCGATTCTTAGCTATCTCTTCAACCTAGCTGTAATCGTTTGCGTCGTAATCGTAGCTTTGTCACTGAGGATAATAAGCGACAAGATGTCAGTGTTAAACCTACTGATTGTCAAATACATATTAGGTAATTTAACTTCGACTCCATTTAACTTCTATAACATATTTAAATAAAATAACAATTATTTTTTTGAGATTGGTGCCAATTACTTAAGTCGTCGTATACCTCCGTACCGAACCGTCTTATACCAAATCTCATATTTTGGCCATTTTATGATCTACCTTGCTTTGCTACCAACATATTTCGCCAGTGACATAACCGCGCGGTGACTTGCGGCCACTTCCCAATTGCGCTTAATGGCTTTGATGCCGCGTGGGTGACGCAGCTGGGTCAGCAATAAAACCTAGCGCTATCGGGTTAACGATAACATTGCACTGATTACAAATCAAATCCAGTAGTACCTATAGTAACTGCTCATATCGATAACATTAACATTACCACTACACGTAACTACTGCTCCTAGGCAAAGATAAAAATCGAATATTGGCGATTATGATTAAACGAAATGCGTCCGTATTTTCGTACACGTGAAAATAGTTTTCCATTGTCATCACGATGATGCATCGCCTAATCAACACAAGTTACTTTATTCACTTATATGGATACGATCCACTAAAGCGGAGAAGTTGCATCATTGGATCAAAATACATAGGTATTATTAAAAAATCTCCCTTTCAACCCCCATCTTTAAACATTAACATTTTCACAAGACGGTACCTAGTGGTACGCGTCAATCACACCCAATTCCCGCAACCATACCGTATGAAACCAAATCTTCGCCGCGCTCTCAACGGATCCTGGACCGAACCAAGGGCAAAACAATTAAACGCGTTCTAAAACTATCAGTGTTATTATTGGCGACCAATGGTGCGCGGTTCCCAATTCATTGTCGGGGCGACACCAGCTTGCTTCCCAGGAGCATCACGCTGGACTCTAGTCCAAAGCCGTAAAGAATATTTTGTTTCATCCCAGCAACGCATCGTCTGTGAAACGTTGGGCAGCGATTCGTCACAGAGGCTGGCGTGGACAATCGCAATTTATGCTGTGCTTTGTACCGCACAATTTGTACATCGCTCAATCTAAACGTTCAGTGAGAAGTGCCAAGGACATCCGTCTCGACTTCAACCGCGCGCTTATCTGCAGCGTGTTTACCAGACAACGAGTTATTATTAAACATAAGTACGCCATAATTATTACAGTCGTAAAAGATGAATGTTTATCACTATTTTAGGGATTAAAATACAAGTCTTTTAATAAAACTTAGAATTTCATCCAGTTAAAATTGCGCAACTATCGGGTTTTTCCTTCTAATAAACTGTTACACAACTTCTCTTACCAATTAATTAGTAATTGAAGTATGAACGGTATTATTATATTATTAAATCTAGATATCTAATTATGTAAAGGGAAATAATTGAAGAAGTTTAATTGGATTCTTACATCTTGCTCAATGGACTTAAAATACTAATTCGAGAACCGCGATAATATTCTTAGACCGAAATCAAACAGACGAAAAGTAAAAGTTATTACATTACATGATTACATACATAAAGAAGAGTCACTTTGTCGAATACACCTGACACACCCCCGGTTTCTGAGTAGAGATTTTAAGCTTGAGCGTGCTAATGTTTTACTTAATTATGAAGTTAAACCTGTAAAAATAGGATTATATGTAGTAGAAAATGAGCATGCTCAAACTGAAATACTCAATTAGGAAACCGGGCGATAGTCTATTTAATAGACTATTGAAATATTAAAATAAATTAAATTCCAACTCACCTCGTCAAAATTGTCGACCATGAAGCAGATATGGGGGTAGGTCATCTCCTCGCCCTCGCCCTTGGTGTCCATCTTGCGGCGGCTCGGCGACGCGTACACCTGCGCAGACGCACATATTATTGTCAACCGGGACAGGGGTCGTCACCGTTTTCAAATATGGTGACGCGAGCGGCAATCATAGGTACGAGGTCGCAAACTTGAAATTCGTAGTGAGCACATCGAAATCTATAGAAATACTAATTGAAAATGAAAGGAATGAAAACATTCCCGGTAAAACTACCAAATGACTGGACCATAACACGTTATTAAATTTATTTGCGATTACAAAATTATATGCTCACCCTCGGTGCGCCAGACCGACTCACAACCAGCATTTTTTTTCGATTAGGTAGGTACTTACCAAATTACCAGTATTTTTACCCACATGGATTAAGTTTGTCCCGATAAATAAACAAATGGACTGTAAAATAACCAATTCTCTGAAAGAATTCGATTCAGTCTTATACTATATCCATCATAGGATTATAATTAGTTAATCACATAACTAGCGATTAAGCACGTTATTATGATAACGCATAGTATCATTAATACCCAGAGATAAAGAAGTGATTTTATCGGATAAACAACAGTCGTTTTTATCCCAGAAAAACACGTGGAGATTAGTTTCGGGCAGATAAAACTTCAGCGAACGGTGTCGGCCACTTCTATATCTGCCTAGGTATTCAGAACTGATAAAAAATGACAGACAAGTTTTTGTAATACCCACATGAAAAAAACTAAGTGCACATTCAAGTAACGATTGTTAGAGGCTGAACATTTACAAGCCATCAAAACCAATTTAATCAATTAATGTTAAACAAACCTTAAACTTATTGGTGACCAAATACGGTAATAAAATAATTTGTTTGTTTAAAATAACACTCGCCAATTTAATGGTTCACAACTTTACAAGCCTTTGAAGTCCGTCCCCGAATAGCGCTTCATCGCAGGCGGTGACGTCACTTTCGACGCTCGTAAACATTTTATCGACAATAAGCCGCGCAGTTCACAGCAAAACACGATACAATGATTAATAAGCACATGATCACTAACCCAGTTAGTACACGTTTCGCCGTTTTTTTATACTACTCGTACTACCACTCGTCAGTTAAAGCAGTTAGCATTAGCACTTTAGTTTGGGAGCACCAGGCATGGCACCTCGCGCAAATTGCACACATTAGCTCCCACGCAGTTGGCGGCCGACGATATTCTAATTTGTGGGTACGCCGAACGAAAGCGTCCTTGACTCGCATTGTTTACACGCCGGCCCTGCCAATGCACACAACACTACACACGACTGCAGCCTTTATTGTAGCTAGACCGGTTTCCAACTCTACGATACACAAACAACACTCACATGTCGGGAGCCTATTTTAAAGATTACACGAAATCTAGCATGGAAATATAGACTACTACGAGTAATAACAATATGAATTGAATGAACTGCGTTTATGAAGCTAGTGAATACAACATTAATTGATTTGATTGGATATTTTAGGGAAAAATACATCATAGATGGCCACCATGAGAGACAGCAGATCTCATTGATGATCAAATCTGTATAGATCTACNCCCTTAACTTTCAAATCAAATTAAAAATTCAAGTTCTAATTAGTATGTAGGCTCTTTTCATAGAACTTCTACACTATCATTATCAATACGAGTACTTGTTACTTGTACTTGAGTGGTTTTTTTTTTTTTGCTTGAACGCGCTATTGGCGCTAATCTCATGAACCTGGTGTAATTAAAAAAATGTGTTGGCTAGATAGCCCATTTATCAAGATAGGCTATACATCACCCCTACAGCCAATAGGGCCGGAACAGCAAAGACAAATGTTACAAAAACGGGAAATATTATTCAAAATACATATTTCCACGCGTACCCACGAAGTCGCGAGCACAGCTAGTCCCACAAGCTAAGGTAGCTTGGTCTACCTTTCTTGATCATACAGAAACAGAAATCCAAGATCTGCGTTTCTTAATACTGTTAGGGTTGTTGTTGGTGCATTACATTCCGGAATGCCTCCCTATTGCCGTCCTGAGAATATACCCAAAAGCGTTTCCCACGCTGCGGCGAGCTGCGCCGGAGTCGACAATGCGTAACAAGCACAATCCTATTTTATGGCACAATGTACCAAACGTGAGCGCACAATACTCTACACAAATCACTAAAATCAACGATTATTCACAAGACTATGGAACTAAAGACCATGAAAAATCAGGAAGTAGGTAAAACAGAAGTGTCCTAGGGGTTTAAAATGAAATTGCAGACTTGTCATAAATATTCACGAGTGTTTTATTCCAGTAATTCAGAAACTATTTTTGTAAGCATAATCCTTTTGTTTGAGATTTGAAACATTTACATACTAATAATTGGCGTGGAGTCCGTTTTGTCTCAAGTTTAGATTTGTTTGGAGAAATTGCCAATGTGTTGCCTTTGTATTTATTTTGCCTTTCTTTTTCATAGAAGTTTTTTTTACCTAGTTAGGTCAAGTATCTCTGTATACATATACCTACGACAAAAGTCATTTTATGTGACTATTTAAAATTCACCATATTCCAGCAAACATCAAGCGTAGGTAGGTATTGTACAATATTTATGTTAATTCGTGGAATTGATAAAAACTTCAAATAGTGATGGAAAGACGCAACAAAATTTTGTCACATCTTGGTCGAATGTCGCTTCTGTTGCGATGAATAATTCCTTGTCAGGCGGCAGAAATATGGATAAGGAAGATGGATTCGTCATGTGACACTCATACATAAAGTATGGAACAAAACAAGAGCTTCGTTTCTCGCATTGAAGCTTTTGAAATAGTTTAATTAGGTATCGATAAGTTACTTGCCTATATGATGGCATGCAGAATGGAATAGTGTAAGTCCTAGTTGCACAATGATTGGCCGCGAGGCGGTCACGCGAGGCGCCACGCTTGTACGGGTTCACATGCAACGAACTAAAAGTGGCTAATTGCAGCCGCAAGTATATTTACCATCGTATTAACAATATTATAATATTTGTCACTAACTCTTCTCCAGAATGTTAAATGTTTTCACAGCGCACTTGTTTTCTGTGACGCCTAATCAGTGGCAGCAGCGGAAGCTGTACAGGAGCCTGATGAAACATTAATTAATTGGTATGAGGTCACTGTATAATAAGCTCTTGTGATAATAAATAGTCGTCATAAAATGGAAATAATGTTCATAAATGTGTCGTAGTCGTAGCGAGTTCACATCAGAGCAACTTCTTGAAACGAATTTACTAAGCATTTGTTACCCAACACCGTAAACCGGATTATTAGTTGATTAACTTCATTCCTTCATTTTTTACGATTAATTACAGATTGAGCGAAAGCAGATTTACAAATACAACTGGTTTAGTGGAAAGTACCAGCGAAATACCTAAATACATTCGTGTGCGTGCATGCTCCGATCTAAACAGTCATTGCTTGTGAATTTGTATCAAGTGCAATCATTACGCATCGAATAGCCCCACATAACCCACCAGTTACTTACCCACGGCTGGTGGGTATGCAATTCTATGCATTTTCCTGGCGAAAAAAAAATGAGGGATCAGACATTACTCTCAAATAATTCCTTGAACCAGGTAATGGACAGGTGGGAGCGGAATTTAGAACAAAAGGCGCCAGTGAACGAAATTGACATGAATAGGCTTGAGTGAGTTGTAGCTTCACACTTTTTAGGTCAATTTGTGTTCCCTGTTAAACGACTAACCTTTCAAAACTGGGCCTAAATCAAGCTAGATACGGACAAAACGTGACCCAGTCCTAAATGATTTTTTATAATTTCAATACAATGGCCACCTGACCCAATATCGGAGCTGAGCGGCTGTCAACAAAAAGATATCGAGGGCTGGGGAGCAGCTGTTCGTGTTGTTTTGAACTTAATCGGGTTGACTTTAGGGTTTCAATTGGGCTAGGTGTTTGGCTTCGATTCGCGAAGGAGAGCGGTAACTTAGCGGCGTAAACAGAGTGGGCCAGCTGCGAAGGGCTATACTGTTACGGCAAAAGGCGGTTGGGTTATTACTTGTGGCATTACACAATTACTTTATTAACTAACTTAACCAGCGCCTGTGCGATTGGACTACAAAAATCATCCCTAGAAATATTTTCGAAGTTTTTTGATCAATAACCAGAAAGCTTTAATGTCTGTTTTGGTCGTAAAAAACATTACCCTCCTTCTTGTGCAGTCGGTTAATAACGAGCATTGGACATCGTTATTTATCACCTTAAAAACCATGTTTTTTCTTGATCCCATAAGATTGCAAGAATCCGCCCATGTCCGGTCTTTGTAACTACATAAAGGTATGATTAATTAATGTTATTGCCATGCCATTAGTATTATTAATGTTGGAATATTTCTTTTAAAGAAACATCAGCGTACTTGTCATTGAATCGATACCTACCTACCTACATAAATCGTTTATATTCTGACTCGCATGGTAACTGAGGAATTATAGTGCGTACATAGTTACGATTCCTGCTGACTCATACACTGATTCAGTCATAATTTTAATATAGCTTCTGGAGCACTTGGGAAGCCCGGTGTGCAGTGAGCGTAGAGGTGGTGAGTTAGGTTTATAAGAAACTAGCGACCCGTCTCTGCTTCGCACAGGTATAATTTAAAAAACCTCCCTCTTGAATCACTGTCAGATCTAAGCATACATAGGAACAGACAGACAGGAAAGCGACTTTGTTTTATAGTATGTAGTGATAGTGATCCAGGGCCGAATCCCTGGTTGGCAACAACCCCTATCGAGATATGGGTCGATGCGCAAATGTCGACAAGCAGAGTTCTCTACATCTATGTGTAATATCGTACCTACACACGAACATACTCATTTGTAATTTTAATTCAGTGTAAATGTAATTGCTATTAGTAATATTTATCATTTAACAAAATAATTCTCAAACAATTATAATTATAAAAATGGAACTAGGTAATTAATTTCGTGGCGCGTTGATGTCTTCTGAAGGGGGATTATACAATTAGGATTTGTACAATGACCTAGAAAAAAAATACTCTGTAGTTGACCCTATCTTATACTTAAGGAAAGTTTCACAAGCTAGTGTAATTCTGATGATAAAACTGTCTGTCTGTCTAGAATTTAGATTCTAAATTCTAGACTAGAGTATGAAGTTGTCGATATTTATTAGGTCTTATGAAGTAAACACAGCCCGGCAGCAGAAAGTAAAGTTGATGATAATGTTTATAACCCATTTGCATGGCTCTTTGTACTTCAACAGTATTTATGATGGGCAGTAAAAATATACAATCCGTATATTTTACAGTAATTGCCCCGTTCTTTAATTTAACATACATACACTGATATTTTACTTAAACAGCCTTAATAGCATAAATTCCCTCGAATTCAATTTGAATGATTATACAATCAGTTAAGCCCACGTATTCCACAATGTCAATCCGTGGATCATTCTTCGGAAGAGTCGTTATAGTGATACAACCGGTTTGTGTGATGGTGTCGGCAGTGCGTGTGTACCGGCGAGGACGCGCGTCATCACCCATTAACATAAAGTTCCGCTTCAAAATACTAAGTTTGTCCCTTACTTGTTTAAGATGTGATTATAATTATCTCACGGCGTAGTTGTCTAATCATATTCTAAACTTGCCACCCCTGAATCTGAACCAGTCTTGTACACGGTGCGGAAACCGGCTCGCAGACTACGAACTACGAACAACAAGCGCACGCACGCCAAACTAATTTCCTTTCTATTGCCTTTCATCGCCCCGCACCTGCAAACGACGCGAGATATGATAAAAATACGATAGCTTTGTTATGCATCGTCCTGTTTGTATCATTTACGAGCGGTGCATTAACCTCGGGACGTTTAGCCGTCGATATAAGCTCGGAGATGTGGATGAGGACGCGGGGCGATGGCGGAGCGCTCGGTGCGGCTGCACCGACGCCGGGCGCGCGGGGGCCGTCTGCGTGACGTCACGCGCGTAATTATTCCATTGAGCCGAGTGCGCGCGACCGCGCCCGACGGAGCCCGAGCGCGCCGCGCGCCGCCGCGCCGACCGAAGCCAACCAGTGTTACATCTTTTCTAGTACGCGGCCGACAGCTTGCGAGCGCGCTCACAGCTACCCGCTCCGAAAAACATTTTTTATCGCGATCGAAAGCGCCGTCCGAAGTACGAGCCCGCCGCCGTGAAGCCCGTGAAGCTCACCCGCGAACGCCCCTTTCTACGATCCCGTTACCGTGCTGTGCAGTGTGTGTGATCGTTTTCCATTTCGACCTCGTTTATGTGAGTGTGATTTTGCTGGACGCGGGGCTCCGGCTTTCTAACGGGCGCATAGGACGAGCGGCCGAATCGATGAGCGCCCGCGTTCAGCCACAATGACAGCTCGCCCATTGATCGGGTGAGTGGGGAGCGTGTGATGTTCCCGTATGTATACGTTCGTAAATAAAACTAGCGTGCACCGACACGTTCGCGGGGCGAGTGCCATAGGAGAAATCGACAATGTATACTATGACGGACAATGCATACTAGTTAGGCAGGCGCGGGGCGCGGGCCCCGGCAGCGCTGGCCGCGCGCCGCGGAGGCGCCGACATTAGCGGCTGATTATCATCGGGCCGGCTGTCGCCTCCCAGTCGCGCAATCGTAGCCCTCGGTCTTTGAACCGTATCTCCGCAGCTATTGATACCGCACGTTGTTTGTACACAAACTGAAAATTCTAGAATAGGTGGGAGACGCAGTTATCGCTGCGCGAAACCGGATTGTGACACAAAGCAACAGAGACTAAACATGACTAAGTGCTCCGTATAACTAGGTTATAAACTCCGCAAGTAATACGATATTTTGAGCGTACACGATAATTTCATAATTCTGTGCTTTCAGTCGCGACGATAAATTAATTTGTATGAAGAAACATTAGGTTTACGTAAGATGGAGAGTTGAATTTTAAGCGTGTTACAGACGAGACCGATAAAAAACATGTCCGTGTGAACCAGTCCATTAGCGTTAGTGAATACATTTGTAACATTTTTCTTTCTCACGTTCCAGGCTCAATTCATCCGAATGGTGATTGGATGACGATCTCCGCCCGCTCCCCCAGCAAGGAGCCGTCGCCACCGAAGCAGATCAACTTCGCGGAGCCCCTCGTCGAGTCGGTGCGCGTGTACCTGGCCAATGAGCTGCCGCCCAAGCAGCTAACGCTCGTACCGGCCGCGCCCGCGCCCGCCGCCGCGCCCGCGCCCGCCTGCGATGTGGACATAGCCTCGCACACCGCGCGCGAGGACATCAAGGGCATCAACTTCGAGCGGCTGAAGCGGAATGACCTAAACAACAACGCGTCGCGGCAGCAGCAGCGCCCCGCCGAGATGCCGAGCCAGGCCGAGCTCATGCAGCGGCAGCCGCTGCTGGCGCGCGCCGCCAAGAAGGACGCGCCGCCGCCCGACGAGTCCGACCCCGACCAGGAGCACTCGCCGCAGCGCGCGCTGGCCGGCGACTTCGTCGTCGAGATCCCGCCCGGCGCCGTGCGCGAGGAGCGCTACCCCAAGGAGATCTGGAAGACCATCGTCTCCTTCTTCTTCCTGTTCACGTGCGTGTGCGTCAACATGATGTCGCTGTCGCTCGTGCACGAGCGCCTGCCCGACCGGAACACGACGCAGCCGCTCAACGACATCATCCTGGACAACATCGAGGCGAAGGACTGGGGCCTCGCCGTGTCCGAGTACCTGATCATGATCTCGACGACCGTGGCCATGCTGGTGGTCGTGTTCCACAAGCACCGCTTCATCGTGGCGCGCCGCCTGTTCCTCATCATCGGCCTGCTGTACCTGTACCGCTCGGTCACCATGTTCGTGACCGTCATGCCGGTGTCCAGCAAGACGTACTACTGCAGCCCGAAGAGCAACAACACCACGCCGCTGCTGGTGATCAAGAGGATGTTCTACTTGATATCCGGCTTCGGGCTGTCGATCAACGGGAAGCACACGTACTGCGGGGACTACATATACTCGGGGCACACGATGGTGCTGGTGCTGAGCTACCTGATCGTGGCGGAGTACTCGCCGCGCAAGCTGTGGCCCGTGCACTGGGCCATGTGGGGCTCGGCGCTGCTGGGCGTGGGCTTCGTGCTGCTGGCGCACGGCCACTACACGGTGGACGTGGTGATCGCGTACTACGTGACCACGCGGCTGTTCTGGACGTTCCACTCGCTGCTGGTGACGCCGCACCGCGCCGGCTCGGGCTACAACGTGTACATGGTCCAGCGCGAGTGGTGGTACTGGCTGTTCGCGTACCTGGAGCGCAACGTGCGCGGGCCGGTGCCGCGGCGCTACGACTGGCCGCTGCCGTGGCCGCGCACCAAGCTGTTCAGCCGGCTCAGCTAGTGACGCGCGCGCGCGCCGGCGCCGGAGCGCGTGTGACGCTCACCTTCTGCGAGTGCCGCTTGAGCACCTGCAGCTCCTTGGGGCTGGTGCGCGTGCAGATGGCCAGCGTGAGCGTGTACTCGAACTGGTGCACGACGAGGTTGAGGTACACCGTCTCCTCCCAGTCCACCTCGGGGTCGCCGATGGGCAGCTTCTTCGAGTCCTTGCGGAACACGTCCACGTCCGTCTGCAACAAGGCGCCGGTCACCGACTGTGATAGCTCGACGAGCGAGTGAGCGACTCGATGCGAACGCTTCTACATTCTGATGAAGTCTATGCTTTTATTGTTGAATAGAACTGTAAGGTTTCGTTTCGTTTAACAGAGAACAATAATCGATCAATTACTGTCAGCTGTTGATAGAATTTTTGTTTTTGTAAATTGTATATTTTATAAGTGGTTATTGAACAATGGATTTCGAGTCTAAGAACATACTATTTATTAGCAAATATACTGTGATTAGTTTGTATGCGGACTCGACGAGCGCACTAGTACATAGTTGTTGTCGTACCAGCCTATTGTAAGAAATCGTATTTTTATATTGTTTAAAATAAAGTACATACTGTTGTTAATGCAAACTTTTTGTATTACCAAAGATTTGTCAAAATAGATTTTCGTAACACTCATCCAAATGGTGCTAAACTAGACATTAAATGAAAATTCATTCACTAAAATTAAGTACTTACGCACCTGCGGTAAATGCATTCCTAGAGTCACAACGAGTGTATAGGTTCGGGAACTTTTAGAAACGAGGAAATGCACAAATTCAATAAATCAATCAGACAGGAAAGCGGCTGCACGCCGATGACTTAATAACGCATAACATAGCACACACGAATATAAATAACATACGGCCAAGTACTGGAGTAATACATTTTCCTAGTCTTTAAACTGATATAATATTAACGATAACTTCGAATATATTTGTAATTGTAATGTACCTAATTAAAACTGAGATTTTTCTAAACATATTTTCAAGAAACTAATTTAACAGTCTAAATTAATAGTAGGTATAGGTATGATAATACTATTACCTACTAGTAATAATCCCGAAGCTCTACTATCGCAAAAAATATTATATCAAATAGTACATTATGAGAAAAAGATAAAGACGTATTTATCTTGATCGATATTTATTGCATTGACGTGTCTCGATAACTGTATCTTAATTCCTAGATAGGTAGTACCAAAAACTTGAATATAATGTAATGAAAATATGATGTCATGACAAGACAAATAATATCTCTCGTTGTATAAATAAGCAGTGTGCAGCGTGCATCGCTCACCTCGTACTTGGGCAGGTAGCGCGAGGAGCCCTTGACGTGGCGCTTGCGCACGAAGAACAGCAGGTCGTCGCAGTCGATGGCCTGCTCCTCCTGGAACAGGAAGTGCCGCACGAACAGGTCGGTCCAGTACGTCGTCCCCTGCAGCACCACGAACCCACTCTCTGAAACACGTTTATCGTCAGCTCCTGCGTGACAATTCCACTAATCTACTAAGAATCGATCGTTACAAATTTCATTATACTGCATACATACTCCCAAATTATGCTCGACTTAATATATTTGTGTAAATGTTACTTGGTAAAGATTTCATTAGTTTATATCTTAATTATGAAATGTAAACTACTAAGTGCCTTTATAATGAGTGACACGAAGGGACTTGCGTTGGATGAGCTGCCGGTGGGATGCTTGTTGCTACAAATTGTTATCAAATTGTCTATTTATTCGTGCATAATATAATATAGCCATTTTCTTCATTATTTTATTTTGTGTATATGTATGTATATAAATTCGTGAACAAAAATTACTTATTTGAAAATGAATTCTTAGATAACGCAATATTTACACACACTATTATTATCTAATGAGTTCATTTTTAATAAAAACAAATTAATTTTAATATAATTTAGTATTAAATAATTTAATATACTTTTAAATACCTAGTTTAAAACTGTGTTTTGAATAATACTGAATGAAATATGGATGTTGGAATTTGCACATTGTTGATAGATAAACATGAATCCGATGCGCAAAATGGTTTTATGTCTTCTGCTGCTTCACAATGCAACCGTATGTGAATCTGAATCTCAAGGTTACTACCAGCTGTAAATTGGCTTATTTGTGTACATGCCTGTCTTATCTCTATAGACCGTTGCCTAATACTTATACAATAGTATTTTATTTTTATTTAAGTTATTTAAACATTTTACTGTGAGGCCTCTGACTCAGCATACATTATAATACCATGGTTCATCACTAACTAAATTGCATCTAAAGCATAGTCCTTCTCCTGAATGTGTCGTAAATCATGTATTTTCTATGTATAGGACTTTTATATTTCATAGAAGCATTTATAATTTTGATATACTCAAGACTCCACTAGGCTTCCAGTAGCCATTTTTTCTTAATCTAAGGTGGTGATCGGTAATTTGTAAAAAAAAACTGCATTATTTTAATAATTTGTCATGAAACTATGACTGCCGGTCTGAGATCGGAACTACATGTACTTACAATAGTTCCAAAGAAGTCATAATGTAATTAACGAATTGTGCTAATTGCCAAAAAGATATCACAACGTCACATGCCTGTGACATTTTTCGACATAATAACAAATGGAAATCAGCAGAAGGCTGTTTTAAGTCTACCCATTTAGAACTAGCTACCATGTAGGTACTGGCTAACATATAAATTCTATAAAACCTTTTAATCAATTTTATCGAATAAATTAAGAATAATTTTCAATAATATATTCTGTGGTTTACATGTGTAGCCATTTATTGATGAGTAGACTTAAAATTAAAAATACATTATAGAAATAATGTTATTATTGCTCAAATGCTAAACTGAACTGTAAAACAACAAAAAACTTACAAAATACATGTGAAATTAGTGAAATGGTCACAGTGCCACCTTTTTATTGGTATGGTAAATGCAAGTATTTTAAGTTTTATACAATGGAATTGAACTGAAGCATAATAAATAATAATAATCGTATAAACCTTAGTTGACCTTCAGTAGAATCGTGATGTTTCTGCAAGCTTTACTAAGGAGTTTTAATATAAAGATGTTCGGTTAGAGGCGCGTGATAACTGTGCGAGGCTCCAAGAGTTCAAATAAGTTATATTTGTGTTACATTCCTATTTCGTGCATGTCCCGGTCCCCAGCCCGGCCTATGCGGACACGCAACTAACTTGTTTAAACCAATGCTGTTGTAAATTAAACGTTAATAAATGTGTTTTTAATAATTGCTGTTTCTCATTGCATTCTATCGAATAGAAATGATAAATATTTTATCCTTGAAATCAGTCAGCATGACTGGTTGCCTGATACTAACTTTTCAAGATTGCCAATTAAGTTTTGAACAATATAATAGTTTAAAAAATTAAGGTGAGTATTAGTTCCTTTAGTCTGTAATAGGTAAAATAGAATGATTATTCTATTAGAGAGATTTGTCTCTTTATTTATTTAGTCCAATGCTTGGTTATGGCAAATGTTTAAGTTTTTAGAATATTAGAAATTTAGATATAATAAAAATTACTAATAATCCCGCTAACCCCTCGTGGTACGCTAAATAGCGGCGACGGGAATCGAACCTGCGTTCCTCGGATCACGAGGCGGCCAAGACCGCTATCGTCGCTTAGATTATAGAATTATATGTAGTTTATAGACGCTAGATAGTCAATATTATCATATTATTTTCACTAGGATAGTTCTTATGGGATTGACATTCAATTACTTATTTGTATTAAATAATAGCTTTCCGCCCGCGGCTTCGCCCGCGTGGAATTTTGTCTGTCACAGAAAAACTTTATCGCGCGCGTCCCTGTTTCAAAAACCGGGATAAAAACTATCCTATGTTCTTTCCCGGGACTCAAACTATCTCTATGCCAAATTTCATCAAAATCGGCTGCGAAGTTTAAGCGGGAAAGCGTAACAGACAGACAGACAGAGTTACTTTCGCATTTATAATATTAGTTGGGATGTTTGTTTTTTATGTTATAGAAGTCATTTATTTTCTTCAAAGAGGCTTATTATAAAAGAGCTTTTAGACGTTCCAATATTAAACCTCGGGACAATAAATGGCCTAATGCTGAGAAGAAGCAGCGCAAGAAACTCAGTCACTTTTGCAGGGTTCGAGGATATATATCAAGGGATATATATCAAGATATATATCGGATATATATCCGATATATATCAAGCCGGTTTTGATGATATATATCAACTTTTAAAATTTGTTACTGTATTTGTACTTTTTGACATAAGATTTTTATTTTTTTAGTTGATTTTGCCGTATTTCAAAGATATTTTATGTTTTTGCTTTGTTTGTCTGATTTTAAGTTTTAAAAACATTAAAAACATGTTTATGTAACACATATGCAATAGTATTCATGAATAATACAATAAAATAATATTATGTCTTTCATACAAAATTGATATATATCAAAGTTGATATATATCGGATATATATCATAAATATCCGATATTTTGATATTTATAATAAATATCGGATATTTTCGAACCCTGCACTTTTGTCAGCCGCTTTTTTAAAGTTTTCGGTACAATACAGTATATCTACTCGTATAATTAATTATAAATATTGATTTACCACCACATTCTTGTAAAAATAATAAGAATTGATCATAAATTATATGCTTTCGACTCGCTTACTCTCAAGTTGGTCAAAACCATCCTTTGATAATGACGCCACATAATTTGCGATCTGAACCAATTGAGATTACGCCCAAGCGACGTCCTGTTAACTAGACTTACAGTTATGGCACTGGACTATACAGATAATGAACAACATAGAAATGTAGACCTATCTTGGATTGACCAGTCTTCAAAAGCAGCGCTTGACATGACGAGTGAACCAGATATCGCTTCCTTAACTATGTTGTAGGGAATGTAGGTACGACCCGCCTCACATAACGCCACACAACTGGCTTTTGGCTGATCAACATACAATTTTATTAATAAGAAGGTATGAGAAATAGGTACGTAGAAATAGGTGGGTAGCTAATTAATATTATCCCAACTAATATTATAAATGCGAAAGTAACTCTGTCTGTCTGTCTGTCTGTCTGTCTGTCTGTCTGTCTGTCTGTCTGTCTGTTACGCTTTCCCGCTTAAACCTCGCAACCGATTTTGATGAAATTTGGCATAGAGATAGTTTGAGTCCCGGGAAAGAACATAGGATAGTTTTTATCCCGGTTTTTGAAACAGGGACGCGCGCGATAAAGTTTTTCTGTGACAGACAAAATTCCACGCGGGCGAAGCCGCGGGCGGAAAGCTAGTTTGTAATAAAACATCGCTGTACTAGCTGATTGCACCTGTAAGTTCGCAATTAGTAAGGTCAATGACCGTCAGGGTAATGAACCACACGCACTAGTCCCAACCCAAGTAACCCAACCCAACTTTAGTGGTAGTAATCTAGTAGTTATTAATGCCTTTTGGATACTTTCGGTCTCATTGGACAAAAACCTATCCTAATTAATACAATGTGTTTCGATCGAGTCTTATGATATAATTAAATCCGATACTTCACTCACGTTCTTTGTTAAAGTATACATAAAGAAGGTCATTTTGTGTATGTGGAGACATAAATAAATCGAATTTTAAAATGGTTCGCATTCTAAGGGATGAGTCTTCTCATTGTATGTTTTTTTTTTCGATAAAAAAAAACAAAGTAATACATGGCTAAAATATCGGAAGTTCCAACAAACACACTGTATACAAATGGGAAATTCAAATAGTTTATTCAGTACATAGGCCCTTTCCAGAGCACTTATACACGTCCCAAATATAGTTTATGAAGATATAAAAGTAAATGTAAATGTTTGGTACTCATTCACGCTAAAACTACTAAACAGATTTTGAGAAAACCTAACAGTATCGATTTTTACATATCAGAATGATATACAATCAAGTAAGTTGGTGGTGGTAATGATAAATCGGCGAAGCCTGGGGTAAAAGCTAGTATGATAAATATTGTAGAAGTTTGTTGGATGGATCGATTGATGATTATTACTCTTTCACACTACTGTAATCCCTACATTTCCCTCTAACAGTTTTCTACAGGCTACACTTCGGAGAATATGCGAAGAAATTATACGACCTAATTCCACCAGCCCTTTCATCACCGGGGAACCAGACGCAGGTTAGTGTACCATCCCTACATTGTCGACATTCCTCCAGCTCGCACTAAGAGTTTCGATGACTCTTTTATAATGCGAACAGCGAGGGATTGGAATTCGCTGCCTGCTGCTGTCTTTCCAACACTATAATCCGGGCCTTTTGAAGGCGAGAGTAAATAGGCACTTACAGGGCAGCAGATATGTACCATCCTAGACTGCATCTCACTTAACACCAAGTGCGATTGCGATCAAATACTTGCCTTGTTATGCGTAAAAAAAATACAATGCAAGCGAAGCCGCAAACAAAAGATAGTTAAGACAAATAAAATCTATCATTAGACGATTGACGATTGCAGTAAGTTGCAAATATGTATTGCATTTACTCACTCATGATACGAAAATACTTGTTAAAGTATACTCGTATTTTTTTAAACAATAGTTTTGTCCGTCTTGTGCAACTAAAAATTAATATTGCTCGATGTTGATTCATCAAATCGCACGCGCGCCGTGACGCATTCATTTAGGTGTAAACAAAGACACGATGATACCCTGGATTCTTAATATCAATACTACCCCTCATGTAGTACAATTTATTAATCATGCCATATGTACGAGTTGAAGAAGTATTGCGATGCGTATATCGAACCGCATTCCACCTTAAATCTGGGTAGAAGGAATGGTGCAAAAGAATAGGGATGTTTTCTGGGTAAAAATAAAAAAGCAAGAGTTTGAATTAGTCCGTCAGTTAAGTTATCAAAAAATACTCGACACGTATTATTTTTCAATTTTTCAAACTAATGGAAATTGTGCTAGTTGAATCGCTCCAAACTCCAAAACCCGAAACTGCCCGAAAGAAGAGGCAGGACGTCAAGGAGTGGTTAAAAATTTAGCACTTTGTGACGTCACGCGGAACTTCAACGCACCATAACTTCGTAATTACTTGTTTGTTTGACAAATAAATACGTGTCCAATATTTTTTTGTAATATCATTGACGGACTAAGTTTTTTTTTTAGGAAACTAGCCTAATCGAGGTTAGCACAGCAGACAGTAAAATAATGGGGATTCCATGGAGGGTACTTGATGAACGGAATATCGATCTGTATTATGGTTTAAATTTATTATTTAATGGACTTGAGTTCGTTCGTTCGTTTCAGACAAATGACGTCCACTGCTGGACAAAGGCCTCCTCCTGGAAGGACTTGAGTACAAAGATATTTATTTATATTCAAAAGTTTTTACGCCAAATATCGCTGCAAAACGGGCTATGGCACGACCATATAACGGCATGCCAAATATAATTAACAAGATGTAATGGTATGGAAAGGTCTTACTAGAATTTTACTGCATTTTCTCCTGCTCACAGGTGGTCACTCAGGCACTGTAAGGGTGGTGCTGTTCACCTCTTACACATGATATTTGATGTTCTGAGAACGTGTGGAGGCCGGCACGAAATAGGTACGTTGGGTCACGTTGGGTGTGAGTGACAGTTAAAAATAATGAGTTGCCACCTTTCTAAAATCATCATTCCTCTATTCATTCTCTTCCGCTCGACGGATGTGATGAAGGTAGGTAGGGACGGGAATGGGAATGACGTCGATTGTTATAACAACTTTGAAAACCTTTGAATTTGAGCTCGCATCGAGTGTCCAGCGAGTTGTCGTGTGAAGAATTCGCTATGAACCTGATGGACGTCTCGATCGAAAAAAAAATGCATGGCCCAATACTCGTTTTCACGTAATAAAAAAAACAATAGAACCAAAACACCTACATTCTATTGTATAGATGACCCACGCTGAACTGTCCCGCCAAACTCAATGACAGGGGGGCGCTACCATCGTTCAACTATATGGTTTCCAACATGGCAAAAAGCGGAACCACCAGCGATCCGGTATTGACGGTGGCGCCCCACTGTCAATGTCATGGATAGGACAGTTCAGTATTTTGGAATTATACGAGTTATATTTTTCCACTTGACATTGGCACAAATATACTCCAGAGGTTTGATTGTCATTATTAAAGAAAAAGAAGACAAATAACAATTAATGTGACAGTTTACATAGTAGTTTCCCGTTCTAAATATCAACCTGAGTAGCCTGCCAGTATCGGGAGT